ACTGGTGATAAAGGATGGAAAGTGGCTTGGTGAGCACTTCTGCCAGCTCTTTCAGTACCCTTGGGTGGATCCCATCCAGTCCTATAGACTTGTGCATGTTCAAGTGGTGTAGCAGGTCACTAACCATTTCCCCTTGGATTATGGGGGTTGCATTCTGCTCCCTTTCCCTGTTTTCCAGCTCAGGGGGCTGTGTACCTGGAGAACAACTGGTCTTACTTCTGAAGCCTGTGGCAAAGACAGCATTAGGTACTTCAGCCTTTTCCTCAGTCTTTGTTACTACGTTTCCTCTCTCATCCAATAAGGGATAGAGATTCTCCTTAGCCCTCCTTTTGTTGCTAATCTATTTATAGAAACATTTTTTTATCATCTTTAATGGCAGTGGCCAGATTAAGTTCTAGCTGGGCTTTGGCCCTTCTAATTTTCTCCCTGCATGACCTCATGACATCCTTGTGGTCCTCCTGAGTTGCCTGCCTCTTCTTCCAAAGGTCAGACTCTCCTATTTTTCCTGAGTTCTGGCCAAAGCTCTCAGTTCAGCCAGGCCAGTCTTCTTCCCCGCTGGCTTGTCCTCCAGCACACGGGAACAGCCTGCTCCTGTGGCTTCAAGATTTCCTTGTTGAAGAATGTCCAGGCTTCCTGGACCCCTTTTTCCCCTTTAGGACTGCCTCCCTAGGGACTCCATCAACTAGGCTCCTGAACAGGCCAAAGGCTGCCCTCCAGAAGTCCAAGGCAGCGGTTTGGCTGAGCCCTCTCCTTACTTCTCCAAGAATCAAGAACTCTATCATTTCATGATTGAAGTAATCGAAGTAATGCTATATAAATAACTTCTCTTACAAAGCCCAGGAAACAGACTTCAGCAAAACACTGATGCAAGGTCATCAATTTCAAAACTCTGAAAAAGGCCATTTCATACGAAGAAATTAAAATAAAAACACATTACAAAAGTAAACAAAGAAACTATATAAAATAATTGCATTATTTTTCCTTGTAAAAGCTGGGAGCACAGTACAGGACTTTACCATGATGACTGGATAGATAATGGTGTAAGTATTGAAACAGTGTGATGAATTAAAAAATGTCAAAAAGACAGAAAAAAACTAGATAGTGCACTCAAAATGAAAGGTAAACTTATGTGTTAGGAATTGGCAAGCAAGTGATTTTCACTGACAACTCATTTTCTGGGAACTGTGAAAGGGAAGTATAATAGTTCTGGTAGGCACCTACTAATGAATAAAAGATAAGGGAGTATGACAAAGAAATATGTTTAAAAAACCCAAACAACTTAATCCTAACCAAAAGAGAGACTTTTCAGGCTTTTTCCCTCCCCTTCACTACAACAAACATCCTCCTCATATAAGTTCCCTCCTTGCTAAGAAGTTGAATTTACTGAAACCCATGCAGCAAAGTAACTTTCTTTTCAGATTTTTGGCAATTTAGTACATCTTGACCTCAAAGTACCTTTTTTCCTAAACTAAGCCTATTTCACATATTGGTCGTGTAGAACCAAAAAATATGATCTTGAATACAAACATGTTTCCTCAGGATCTTCAACAACAAATTAATATACAACATCTTGGTTTGCACTGACAAGGAATTTGATCTAGAGTTTGATCTAGAATTACTGTATCGGACAAGCTGGTAATTGAACTCTGATCAGTATATGGCATATAGGTAAACTCTAGGAATTTCAAACTTCGAAGTATACACTTATGCCATAAAAAAATGAAGCATCTGAATCAATTTTAGTTCTAAAGAGAAATATATTACAACTAAAAAAAAAATAAATAAAAATCACACAGATCAGTTCTGTGCAATGTAAAGTAGGCATTGCTGGCAATACTATTTCTGAAACTTAAAATGAATAAGGAAAAGTGCAAGGGAAAGTTAAAATACTTATAGGTCCATTATTTATTTTTGAAGGTGTTTAGAAAAATAATTAAATACGATAAATAAGATTTTTTAAAACTGTGCAGACAATTTTGACACCTACAGTAAAAGCAATGCTAATACAAAACATGCTTAAGTTCCTTGAAGCATTGAAAATATTAGTCAATGCTTCTGTATCTCAGATAAAATCCAGCAGAGTAAATACAAACAGATGAACAACTGAAAATATACATGTAAGCATTTTAAGTCAAATTTCTACAGGAAAATAAGTTTATACAATTGCACTAGGATTTCTTCCCACTTCTACATTTTTCACTGGCCAATTTAATCATCAAGTTTGGAAGGGTACAGAGTTTCTGAAGCTATTGTTTTCCTAGAATTTTCTTGGAAATCAGTAGTTGAACAGTACAAGGAAAAAAACAAAGCAAGCCTCACTGAAGGAAAAGCAGGCAAAACTGATGGGAAGTTATGTCCTAGGAGTCAATAACCCAGTGTTCAGTGCTGGTGCCCCTCAACAAACACAGCTGATTGTCACAAGCTCTTCCAAGAAAATAAAGGACATAAAGAGGAAGGTCACAGGTAACTAAAGCATGCCTACACTTGTGGAGTAAACTAGACTTCACTATTAATGGTACTAACAAATAACTTTACATTCTTCGTGACTTTACAGAAGATATTGTTGTATCTCCATCAATAAGTTTGAAGCTATGAAAGAAACTATGTTTTTACATCATCTCCAAGGTGTTTCTAAAATTTTTTTCCTCATTTTCATAATTTACAGCTGCCTGCAGCATTCAGATGACCCAGTAAAGTACAGGACTCCGTTGTAGGTAATTTAGACTAAAAAATTTCCTAATATTGAGAGGTATCTCCAACAAATCTGCTGAGTTTAAGTATGCCAGTATGATCCTCAGAAAGGCATCACGGTGCGCTGGACTCAGTAAAGACTTCAGTCTGATGAATTCTGCACTAGTTCAGAAGTGCATTTGAACATTAAAAAGACAGGTAGGATCCAAGACTGCAGTGATGAAAAATAACTGCTGAAAAAGACAGAATTTCACAACTCTTACCCTGGACTTTATACAGTCTCATGGTATGTGTCACATGGTGGAAAAAACATACAACTTCTGAGAAAATCCTTCCATGAGCAACTCTTATGGTAGGTGGATCTGTAAAAATATAAGGCTACAAAAAGAAAACAGAAAGTTAGAACAATTATTTTGAAAGTTTTGCATAAAAGTAGTGTCAAGAAATCAAAGTATTTAATAACTATTAAATAGTCTTTATTTTTAAAAAATTGTTTTGTATCTAAGTCTAGTCTAAAAATTGAGAATTATGAAATTACTCCTGATCTGAAATTCAGCAGCTTCTCTTCAGAGCCTCACTTTTCCTTTAACAAAAATTAGGATAACCCTTATTATATATCTCACAGGTATTTTATGAGAATTAATTGATACAAGGCCTACAGACAGACTCAGTAATGTATTAATACTGCAAATATGTGGATTGAGCTTTTTTTGCTAACAAAATTATAATTTCTAACCAGTAATCAAATACCGTAGTTTCACAATCTGTGGCAGATGGTTTAACTGTCCGTTTGGTTTGCTCACAGTTTACTATATCAGTGGTACACACTGCATGAGGAAAGCTGCCTCTACACTGTCTTGTGGATCAGTTTGCATATCCTTTTGAAAGAGAGAGAGGCATCTTTTTCTTCATCAAAAGGAGCTACAGTTGCCAGGGGAGCCCCCTGGAATGCAGTGTAGAGCTGGGAACAATTAAGAAACCTCAAGAGGGACACCAGGTTCTTACTAGTGTCTCTCAAAGACTAACAGAAATTTCGCATACTCAGTGAAACCAAAGAGATGAAGAAAATTATTTTTCCATGTAGTCACAGTATTTTGAGTCTTGGCTAAGTAAATGATGACTTTTTTTTTTTTAAATAGTTGATCCCAAATTGAACTGTATACGCTATATAGAAATACATGGATGACTACAAAGGTAAAAATGGGTTAAATACTAAGTGTCTACAAAGCCAAAAATGAAAATAAACCACATGGAACTACTACAGTAGGGCAACAGCAGTAATAAAGACTTCACTCAAAAAAACCTAACAAAATACTTGAAAAACATGTTATTCGGAGGGATCTAAGTAGAAAGCTCTTAGAGGGTGGTTGTCCTCCTCATGTATGTATCAATGTCACAATGTCACCCTTCGAGGCTGGGCCAGAAATTAAAGTGGACAACAGATGCTCTCAATTAACCCCTTCCCTCCCAGAAGGGGAAGGAAAGGAGAAAAGGGAGAGAGACTTACAGGCTCGACAATTAAAACAACTTTAATAAAACAGTAACAATAAAAAGAGCATAATAATATTAATACTAAGACTACTACTAATAGAAATAAAAATGTACAAAACCAGTATTGAGCTTCTCAGTGATCATCACGGAATTGCAAGCCGTGGCAGCTCGCACTGCTGATGCAGCAGGACAGGCACCGCAACTTCCCAGACTGGACTCAGCAGCAGACAGGAACTGGATTCAGGAATTCATGGATCAGGATCAGAGACAGGAGAATGACAGGACACCCACAGGGATGCTGGCCATGAAAGAAGAAGGGCTGATCACCGCGATCCCTTAGCTCTATACTGAGTATGAGGTGTATGGGATGGAATACTTCGTTCATCAGTTTTTTTGTCACCTGTCCCATCTACACTTTCCCGCAGGTGTGACCCTTTTATACCTTTTCACTTGTGGAACACAAGAGAGCCAACAGTGACCTCGATTCCCACAGGAATAAGTACAAAGAGCCTTTCTGCATACCAAGCCTACCGTTAGTTTAGTAACGACTATGGACATCAAACGTTATCAATTCTAAAAGCAGACACTATCTGAAAAACATGTAATCAACTTCAGAAAGTGCAGTTACTTAGAAGAAACTTAACTGAAGGAACATCTACTGAAAGAAGAAATGGGCCTCTTTTAGCCAAACCAGGACACGTAAGGACAGACCATGCCCTTTTTTCTCAAGCAAGGTAAAAAAGAGCAAATGTATCTTGAGGAAGAGAGGAAATCAAGATTACGTACAGATAAAAACATGTCAGAGAAGAACAAGTACAGGTACATATAATCCAATCTTATTCTTTGAGCATATAACTGTATGTATATTGCACAATACTTCTTGAAATCTTCACTGTGAAAAGAAGAAACTGAAAGACACTTTCAAAGAATAAAAGCCTGTCTTTTTATTCACATGTTTATTCTTAAAGTTTCAGACAGAACACTGTTTAATAAAAGCTTTGCCAGAGCTCCAAGACACAACTCTGCAGCTATGAACTAGAGGAATACTTTGTACAGGAGTTTGGGAGAGGAGCCACAGCTGCTTACACTTCAGTAAGATGGGTTGTTTTAGGGAGTGGGTGATTTTTCTACTGATCATCTTACAGCAATGTTTTATCCAGTTATCAGTACAAAAACCCAAATAAGGAGAGTCTTTTGAACTCCTTAACAGTGGACATGAAAAAATGATGGGAACCTTCCAAGGGGTCTCAACTTGTCAGTAAGACAGACAAGTGTTATCTATTATGCAAAATCCATTTGCTAGCTGAGAAATACAGGAGGAGCATGGCATTAAGAGGGCACAGAGGACAGGTGAATTAATATGCTGAGAAAAAGGAAGTCTGAAGACCAGATCTCAGGTTAGAATTTGAGCTGGCTCTTAGGTTCTCTTATTTCCATGAAAAACTGCCAAGATCTGTAAATGTAGACTACCGAATCTTTGCCTTTCTTCTGGCAGAAGACATTGCTATCCATCTGCTTATCTATCACACATAGGTAGAGAAGACATACTCACTTAATCTATGACTACATGTTCCTAGAAGTCTATGTTTAGATTTTAATCACAGAGGAACTGGATTACTGACAGAAAGGTGGAATAATCAAATCCTTCAAACTCCTACCTGCAGGGTCAGGCAACATGAAGATCCTCAAAGATCCTCATTGCTTCTTCACAGCAATGAAGAACTGAAACAGCAGCTAAAGGAACTCTTGGAAAATGAAATGAGAAACTCAGCATCTTCAGGCCAAGCAAATACCCTTGCCAATTATTACCCAGGAGAATACTACTTACACAAACAGCAGCCTGCCAAATACATTCTATTAGCAAAGTAACACGTATCTTATGATCTTACTTCTGTTTGTAAGAACATTTCTCACTAGGGCTCTGACTGGAGCTATCCAGGATCAAACCAACAAAATGGAGAGACGCTGGATGAGTGACAGAGGAATGCAAAAGTGTGTGCACTTACTAAAAAAAGAAAAAGAACTAGCTGAAGTAACTTTTTTAAAAACAAAAAGTAAAAAAAAAAATACTTGGGAGGAACTCTGTTCCATCAAGCTTGTTCGTATAAAACATGATGGTGACATTAACAACTACCAAAATTCATTGTTCCCATACAAGTAGAAAGTTGAAATGAGACGTGTTTAACAGCTCTCAGATTCTCGGATATTGCCACAAACACTAAATTCACACACCAGAGTCTCCAAGTTGCTCATGTAGCGTGATCTGCTCCCTCGCTGAAGATAAAGTCCATCATATTTACCATTTCAAACTATACAGAAAGATGAGGTGATAGGAAAAGGCATTAATTGTAATATTAATTGCAGATTAATTTGCAGATATTGTCCAAAGCTAATAAATTTTTTTTTAATCACAATTTGCAATTCCACTAGCACATGCATTAAGAGAAATGTATCAAAACCAGTTTGCAAGCCTCCAATTCAGACACAATGCGGGGAAAAGGTACAAATGAGGAAGGAGAGTTACAAAGGCACACGCTATCATGTGGTTTTGGGGGTTAGACAAGTTCTTTCTGATACAAGGAGTGGAGATATAATGTATCCCTGAGTTCTCAAGGATGCCTGTTGCTTCCTGCTTGTTGGGCAAACAGGAAAAATGAACAAAAAATATGGTACTCAGAGAACAGGGAAGCCTCCTAATTCATATTTAGTGCCCAGAAAAGCACTAATCCTAGAAAGTGATTTCTTGGTAGGCATCTGGAGACATACTGAGTTCAGAACATATAAAGAGATAACTGACCAGGTTTGCCACACTGAAAACTTTTCCATGAATCAGGCTTTTCAGTAGGGAAACATCTTTATGCATTGAATGTGCAATTATTCTAGTATCATTGTAAAGATCCTTGGTGGGATGCACAGAGGCCTATGAAACGATCCTGATCCTGGATATGAAATATAAAGATAATTTTGATATGAATGTCTGACTAAGTTGCAGATATAGGCCTCTTACTACTCAGACAGAAACAACTTTCCTTTCTAAGTAGAAGGAACGAACAACAATAGGGCTATTTGCAAAACTGATTGGACAAAGCCCTGGACTGAATTCAGTATTTACTCTGTTTTGAGTGGGAGCTTGGACTACATGACATTCCAGCATGAAGGATTCTATGATTACTCAGACCTTAAATTAGGAATAAAAATATCTGGGTCTCATAACCAGCGGTAGTCTCAAGACTCCACTTCCTAAACAGTTAAAATGACCAGTTGTTGTAAAATCTGTTCCCCTCAGCTCCACTCGAATGAGTTCCATTGTACAAGATTAAGCAGTCTGCTGTGGCAGGTTTTGCTGAGCCTCGAAAACAGTATTTTCAGAAACAGGAAAACAGAACTATGGGTCAAAGGGTCCAGAAACCATTTTCAGTACTCATGTTCCAGAAAAATATGACAACCTCCGTTTGAAAGAAGGGGTGGCGGGGAAGCAAGCTAGAAATTTTAAGGGAGAATACTTGGAGCAAAAAAAATATTCTATAGCTCCCTGAGGTATCTCAAAAGACTTTGCATCAAACTGGGTGCCAAAGTGCCAAGGGGTAGACATAACTGGAGAGATGCCTTCACTTAAAAGGTTTACTGGCTTGCATAGAAGCTGGCATGGCATATTGCAGCCTGAAGGCTTGAAGCATGGGCAATAAGCCTTTCCCCTTGTAGTGAAGTGAAGCACTACTAACCGTCTTAGTGTGGCCTAGAAATTTCTGGCAGTGCAGTACACTATTGATGTGGAAGTCAAATAAACTATGGCCAGAGGAAAGTTCTCTAACACAGACTCTTGATCTGCCCAAGATTTTTAAAAAAGAACTCAAAACAGAGCCTTCAAGAAAAGTTGCTCCTCAATAGCAGATTACTCTTCATTTGGCAGGGTATGAGGCTGGGCTTTGGGGAGGCAAGGGGGTGGTGGAAATCAAATACTACGAGCTGTTGAGAACCGTGTTTTAAGAATTACGTGGCAGAAGAGACACAGTTATCATTTTAATACTTTTGTCTCCAAAAACAACCCCACCAATATCTGGGGCAAATTTTTAGACAATAGATATGATTCTTGAGAAAAATGCATAGCAGCAAGGAAAGAAAAGACACTTCCAAGGCAGACAATTCTTGAATATTGTGAGCACCCTCCAGGTAACGGTCCCTGTGTCCTTGTCTTTTCCTGTTATCAGGCATGCAAAAACAGGCAAGCAATAAAAGTAAGTATACTATGCTTGAATGATGATCCCTGCCCTTTTGAGAGGGAAGATCTGAAGATGGATACAGTGGGATACTCCAGTCTCTCTCCTTCTGGGCAGTGGAACATCGCAATCTCACTCACAGAAATGCAGAAAGATACCATTATCTTTTCCTTAGGTTTGAAGGCCAAGCATTTAGATAACTCACATATGTGTTCTTCTCTGAGAAGTAGAGGCAATAGGTAATGCTGACAGATTAAAAAAGGACTTGTCACGAAAAACGTTTCTTGAAGCTAGTAGGAGCAGCTGCAGCTATGCAAGTCAGAGATCATCATCAGTAAAGGAAGTCCAACCACGGGGACAAAGTGTGAAGAGGAAAAAAGGGAGAAAAGCTCTAGCACCAGAGATCCTGCAGGATAAAAAAAAAAGCTTAATCTCTTTTCTTAAGTATTCTGTTAGTACCTAAGTACATACACCAACTAGTATATACATGTGTGCATAGACACAGCTGCCTGAGGGAGAATCACAATTGCCCAGCCTAGGTCTACCAAAACCAGTCCATTCTGATTCTGAAAAACTGATCTGTAAACAAGAAAATGAACCACTCAGATTGATCCCACAAACACTTAGCATCTGACTCTTTGGAAAATACTGCTTTGTTGTATTCCATACTGATACTGAACATGGCTAGTAAGTAGGTTGTCACATACTGACTTGTCTTGAATACATAAAAGAAAATACAGAAATTTAACAGTTTCAAAGTTTATGGCCATCCTTCACAAAAATCACAAGAGACACAAACATGTTTTTCCTTCATAAGCAAGATGCTTTTGTTTACCTTTGTTGTGAGGTTCAAGGAAGTCCCTTCCTTCCAAACCTTGGTAACATTGTCATTCAGCCAAGCAGCACTGACGTTTAAAAAAATTAAGATATTGCCTGTCTTTTTCCCTAGTACCTTGCCTTTGTTCTATTTTGCAGAAAATAAAAAGACATAGTAGGAGCACTGCCTTACCACCAGAGCTGCAGCATGGAGCCTCTGCTCTGTGTCATTGTCCTGGACCTCACACTGGTGTCCTGACCTGAGGCTGCCTCTGAACTATTTTCACACTTCAGACAGCAGGGATAACATCATCCATGGTCAAGACCCTATGCCACAACCCCAGAGACTGTTCTTATTGGAGGCTCTCTAGCTGCACCAGTGCAATGTTTGCCATGGTGTTGTAGAGCCTTAAGTCCAGCTATTCTTTCCAGAGCAGTGACAAAGAGTTAACGGTGTTCAGTATACCTTCTATTTAATACTGTGTAAATCACTGTCATTAACTCAGGTCTCTGCTGATGTCCAACTTAGTGCTGGTACAAGAGGCTTACTTCTTAGAAAGAATGTACTTTTTGCAGTACTCCAGGCTAGTTTTAGGTCAGCCATAAAGACGATTAATCCAAGGAACCTCTTGAAAGATTCAGATCTGTGTACTAGAATGTACACGGACCATTATCCGCAGAAAACATGACATCCACTCATAACTGCCTAGTGATGATCAGAGCTGCACTGTATGTGTCAAGTATTCTAAAGTGACATGGCTTTAAGGCATAGCCTGCAAACCTAGCATGTTACAGCACCGAGTTTCCAAAATCAAACTGGCAGAAGAATCCAAGACTAAAAAGGCTATATAAGTACTACAGTAAGACAGATGATTGAACTAGATGAAGAAAAATAATTTCTGAGTATTGCAGAACGGAAAAGAAAGGAACCAAAAGACTTACCAGGTGATAAAACAACCAGTTAACAAAGGCAAAGAAAAACACATAACTGTACTCATACCAGAGGAAAATTACTCAACATCAAATTTTGCAGTAATACACAGGATGGGGGGGATAGGGAAAACAAACACTTAGCCAAAAATCAAGAAAACTTCCTGTAATCTATCCTATTGCCACTCCACACAAGGACTTAGAAAATATTAGTCAATCCACCTCACACTGAGAACCCTGAACAGATGGCATTTCTTTCAAGACAGAAATCATTAGTTAAAACTGTTTTAGAAACTACTGCAGAATTACATTGTTATTCCCAGTGGGATAACTTAATTAATGTTATTAAAATGCAAGTCACATGAGCCTTATGGCATATTAATGAAGCAGAATTTTTAGAAGTATCATGATTTCATTTTTATTGCATAAAAAGTTACAAAAGCTGAACACACCATCCTTTTTAATGTTAACTAAAAATGTACTTTAATTTCATTTTTTACAAAAGTTCAATATGTACCTTGTTTTCTAACCGTGCTTGCAGGCATGACAGACTTTTTCTGTTCAAACCATAGCATTTGCTATCTAGATTTGTCTAGACTACTTTTATAAAGCAAATAATCCAAAATGTAGTTGAAATTATGTAACTGTTAGATTTAGTGATTATTGCTTTTATAAGCAAAAGACGAAGTAGCATCTAAAATAGAAGTGTGACCATGCAGCTGATGAAAGGTAAGAATTAAAAAACATAAGTGATATTGTACAGATATTCACAGATCAAAACCACTGACATTTAAAAATTAAGACTAAATGAATCCTGTTGAACATAACTGATGCAAACAATCATGGGACTAAATATAATAAATGGTTTAAAACTGCCAACTCACAGACCTCAAAATGTGTGCTTCTAGGAGAGACTGCTAAAAGGAAAGGAAACTGTTCTGTCTGCTTCCAGACTGATTTACAAATATAACAAACAAACAAAAAAAGCATGATTACCCTTGCTTATTTCCTGAAGTGCTAATCATAGAGCTCCCAGTTTGCCTTATGCATGTAACTTAAGTTTCCCCAGGAGAAACTGGGCAGAAGTAGTATGCTGCAAGCTAGCTAACTTCTTAAAAGTGTTCCTTATTTCATCATTTACCTTCTGAAATATCACCTTTCCAGTTCCGAAATTGGTATAGTAGATTCCGTATAGTAATTAAGTCAGTATAAAAACATTGTTATTTCTGAATTTCCCATTTGAAAACTAATAGGCATATGCTGCTGCCCTCCAGTAACTATGCTGCTAAAAATACAGATAACCATAGCCAACTAAATCAGAACAGTTGTTTGCTACTCCATCTTTACATTCATCAGTTGGGACTCAGTATCCTAATTACTATATTAAACTACATATGTGAATATCAGCTAAAAAGTACTGCACTCTGAACTGGAAGATCTTCATTCACAATAAAGGAATCAGAAAAGAGAAAGAACGCAGAAATGAATCAGTATGTCCGATGCATTTCACCATAGGAAGTGAAAATGAACTTATTTTATTGACAGTGAACGGCCACATCTCACCGGATTTTTTGCAACGGTAGCATCTTATTTTTTTGGTGAATCATAAATATTTTGTGTATTTTTACAGCTTTAAATTAATGCTGTGTTTTTACCCAAATCTAGGGTTATGAAGTATGAAGTTCTGCCAATCATTTCAATAACTGATGTCATTATTCCTAGCCACATAGTTGTGTTTCACTGTTGGGGAAAACTAGCTCTTCCAATCTGTATTTGCAGAATGCTTCAAGCTACTTCAAGATCAGAATCTCTCTGCAAACAGATTTACCTTGGCATCTCCATCTGGTAAGAAGAGATAAGCTCCACTTTTATCCCGGTTACTTGTAGTTCCGTACCAAGCAAACTCCACCTTCATTTGATGATTTTTACCATCTTCTTTGGTATTTATTTTCTAAGGACAGAGAATCATGTTTGAAATAGCTGACACATTTACATTTCCACAAATAAAACCAGAAGTTCTTAAAACACACAAGTGTTTCAAAATATAATGCAACACACCTCAAGTAATCCAGACATTCCAGAAAACCACAGTTTCATGTAAGAATTTTCTAAGACTATATTATCCACAGAATTCTGCATCTCCTTTATCTTGAAAAGTCTGTCTGGCTTCTCCTGCCTACTGTTCCTCATGTATATATCATAGTCTGCTAAAAGTGCTTCTGAACTCTGAACCTCCAAAAGCTGGTAAACTCCAAGCCCCAGAGGTGGTAGGTGTGCCACGAAAGAGATCTGTTGGGAGCAAAGAAGAAGCCATTATTAAAAATACCAAATTATCAACTTTTTATACCAAATTTATGCTCAGAGTAACTCCTTTTGCGTCAATAATTTTATGATGACTGAATTTTTCCCATATCCCATAAATGAATATGCAATTACAAACGACATTCCAAAATTAACAGAAGCATGTTAGAAAGAATTAGCAAACAAAAATGTCTGCATCACTAATTTGCTTAGCATCAAGATCACTGTTATATTAATGTAATAATAATTTTGATTCTTGTTAAAAAAAGAATGTTAGCCATGATGTGCAGTTCTAAGCATATTTGCTGTACATTAAAGATGTGTGTGTAGCATATCAAATGCACACAGATCCTACTTACCACTTAAGCTGCATTTAAAAATCAACAAATTTAAATAGCAAAATATAAGACAACTGTCTTGTTTTTAGTCTGTTGTTATTCAGGAGCTATAATGTAATCTGCACAGAAGAGTGATATACAAGGTACATCTCCAAAGTGGTCTTGTTAAGAATTTGAGGTACAGCTACGTAATTTCATTTCTCCTTCATGCAATTAACAGCGTTAATTATTGTACTAGTTTTGGCTGGGATAGAGTTAAATTTCTTCATAGTAACTCATACTGGTGCTATGTTTTGATATTAACAACATTGATTAACACAGGCATGTTTTAGCTATTGCTGAGCACTGCTTACGCAGCATCAAGGCCTTTTCTGCTTCTCACCCCACCCGCGAGCAGGTTGATGGTGCACAAGAAGTTGGGAGGGGACACAGCCAGGACAGCTGACCCCAACTGGTCAAAGGGATACCCCAGACCATGTGGTATTGTGCTCAGCAATAAAAACTGGGAGAAGAAGAAGGAAGCGGCAACATAGGGAGCGATCACACTTGCCTTCCAAAGTAACCCTTATGTGTGACAGAGTCTGCTGTACTGGAGATGGCCGAACACCTGCCTACTGATGGGAAGCGGTGAATGAATTTCTTATTTCACCTTGCTCACATGCACAGCTTTTGCTTTACCTATTAAATTGTCTTTATCTCAGTCCTCAAGTTTTCTCACTGTTACCCTTCCAACTCTCTCCCTCATCCCACTGGGGGCAGTGAGCAAGCAGCTGTGTCAGGCCGAGCCACTGGCTGGGGTTAACCCACAACTATCAATAATTATCCCTTTGGAGGACAACCAAGACACACTTATTGAATTATTGTCACAGGAATATTATCCTGAAACAAGTTCAACTTGGCTCCCAAGTCAAAAGGAATCAGACTAAGAATGTAAGTCTGAAACTAATACAGTACTATTATAGTAACGCAGTACTATCGTATCACTAAGAATTTAACAAAACACAGTTTCTGATGGGTGATCATTGAGGACAATCTTCTATAATGATGTATGAATCAAAAATTCTCAGAAACTTTGTTTAAAACCAAAACCAAGAGGTGGACTCAAAGTCATCTGCCTAGCTTGAGTTGAAGAGTAATAGAGATTACTATCCAGCCTCTATAACTGGAAGAGGGAAAAAAAAAAATTCTGAATCTAACTGCTTAGGCCATTGCACTTACAAAATCTTCCAGCTGGAGTGCTTGAGCACAGACAGACTGATACTGTGTTTAGACTATCATTTGAAGGAAAAAGCAGCTTTAGAAAGTCGAGGAAAAAGACACACATCCAGTATTTTCGGTTCCTGCAGCTGAAACTGACCCTTTAAATGTAATACACCATATTACGAAAGTTTAATAACTTATCAGTTTAAGAAACATTAATGCTAAATATACGTATGTTATTTTTTTCCTTAAAATAACTGAATTAATGGCATTATCTGCAGAAGACAATTGCCAGTATTTGAAGTATGCTTTCAATTTTCATCAACTGTGAAGCTACAGTATCTGTCAAAATACTTTAATGCTTTTTACTTAAAGCAGCATACCTGATATGCTTCATGTGATACTGTAGTTGCTCCTTCCCAAACAGCACTAATCTGGACAGTAACAGGCTTTCCCAAAGGAGATAATAATTTAACTCTGGGTGAATTCACACTGACTGAAACCACTGAAAATCGCTCTTGCTCCATAGGATTATATATCAAAAGGTACCTGCAAAACATATATGCCAAATTATCTTTCGGCAAACGAGTTTCCTCCTTCAGGTTTAATATTATTGCACATAAATTTTACATACAGAGCAGTAAAACAAAGTCAGAACAACAGGTACATACCACAACAAATAAATATGCAAAACATAACCAGGAAACAATGGATATCTAACATTTAATTCTTGGCAGATCTTCTTTGCTTAATGCTATTGGTTTTCCAAGAACTTTTGAAAATACCTTACAATAAAAACACGTCAATTTCCCATCTTAACTACTAAAGAATTGCTGTGAACAGCTGCAAGCACAATTGAGATATTTAAGGGCATTTTAAATGTATTTTTCAGGCTGAATCATTAAATTCTTATTCACAGTTGCTTTCCCTTTAACATAATTTAGAAACAATGAAGTAAAGAATAAAACCTGCTGTACACACATATATCTAATGTATATTCTTTAAAGCAACTAGTTTCTCTCTGCTATAAGGGAAAGTTCAAAATTATTTAAATTGTAATTCACCAAAATTCCCTATGGCAACTGTCTGCATATAGTTTGAAATCTTTTTATTAGGTACATATCAAATAACTAATTTTTATGTAATCTTATGCCTATTCTTCAATTTGAACACAGATTATGTTACTAACCAGAAGAATCAGTCCTGAAACTGAATAGAGCAAATTTATTACCCTACATTTTCTTTTTTATTACAGGTTCATATATTCTAAGGTATAGAAAAATAAAGTGATACTAGAACATTTGTGCCTCATGCATCTATAGGACTATCATTGTACTTCCTGTCTTTTCATTGCCAAGCTAAAAAGTGCACTATTTACAACTGTTCCCTGAAGTCTCCCTCTGTTCATTTCATCCTTTAAAAAAATTGCCTTTAACAATGAGAAATGTTCTTGCCAAAACTTCCAATAACTTCTTAGATACACAGCAGAACCAATATTCTATCTTCAAGCTCCTTGACCCTTCCCACTGTAAAACACAGTTTACTTCTTCATGAAATCTTATCTTTCATCAGTTTCTGTGATACCCAATTTCTTACTTATCCAATAACTCCTTCAGCATTTCTTTCAAGATTCTCCTCATTCTCTGCTGTTTCCTATGCAGATTCCTCAGTGTTTTGTCAGTCGTTTTCTTTCTTTTCCTTTCACATCTTAATCTTCAAATCCAATTATCACCTTCACAGATCAAACCACTTTATCTAGAATTGTCTCCTTCCACCCAAACTAGAAATCTCATTCTGTCACTCCCATCTTTAACTTAAACATCACCTGCAGCTTGAACCTGTCACATTCTGGCTGTATGTCTTCCAGGTTCCTTACCTACACATTTAGATCCTCTGTACTCCATTATCTGCTAGCCTGGCACTACAGTACAACTAAGGTCCTGCTAACAAGTTACTTACATAGCTAGACTCTTTAATTTTTTCTCTTCTCTTTTCCAGTAGTAGCTCTTAACAGACTGAGGGTAGCTCTCCTCTACACACATGTCAGAGGAGACAGAGGTCTCCCTGGCACCATAAAGTCTGGCAGGCTGAGGACAAAACGGCTGAGATGATACTTTGGAAATAATGAAACAGCAAAATTTCAGGGCTGAGAGGCTGCAGCAAACTGCTTAGAGTTAATAAGGAAGTACAAATTTAACTCCTTGCTATTCTGAGAGGACTTCTACGCAATTTTGGTGTGAAGTCAGAGAGCCTAAGTTAATCCAACACGAAACTATGAATGTAATACACACACAAAAGGAAAATTCTTTCTTCTTCTCCATACTGTTGAAAAAAATCTCACCTACTCTTTTTCCATTCTGCCCTTTGATTTTTTTGCAACATTACCCTAATTTTAACAAATGCAGTTTTGCTCTACAGATACTCAGAATCCTTATGAACACTAACCAGGCTACCATTTTCCCCTTATCTTTCCTTGGCTGCGCCTTTTTTTTTCCTGCATCAAACTTAGGCTTTTCATCTTCAGTTTCATAGCCCTTCACTGCTACCTCACAACCGGTAGGAAAGGTCAACTCCAACCTTCTCATTAGTTGAATAAAATGAGATCAGAGGCTATATTAGCTTTTACTACCAAGAACCTTTGGACTACCTGCCATACACAGAATGAGCTGTCTATAAAAATTATTTTCCTTTTAACAACTTTAGATGAAGATTCCTGTGCTGAAGTATTGTTAAATCACGACTTCCGTGCATAACAACTATTTTCTTTGCATGTTGGGGTACCCAACTGTGGTCAGTTGCCTTCTAGCACAACCAAAAGTGCTTTGGGATGCTCTTTTTTTTTTTTCCCTGTTTCATGTTGAAGACTCCTAGATTAGCAGACAACAAAATAGTTAACGGTAGTCTTGATCAGCTTTAGGAGTCTTTAAGAACTTCTGCAAGACCTTGTGAGAGCCTCCCCTAGACTTGGGCAGGTCATTTTACACTTCAGTTCAACTGAAGATGTCTTCTTTTTGGATAAGATTTTAAATTAAATGTTAATGTAATTTTTTGGTAACAGTTGTGGAACCAAAACCAAATTAAACCAATACTGCTCTCAGTCTAGACCCTTTAAAATGTAGGAAGATGAAAAAAATAAAATTAGTGAAATACTTTAAAAACTCCTCATATACTGTGAAAGAAGAGTATAAGAACTGTGTCAGAAACAATACAGGTCTAAGAGATGATCCAAACCAAAGCTCAGAATAAATCATCATTCTCCTCCATCAGCAGAACATTATGAAAATGTTTTACTTATACTTTCTATACAGTGGAATTCCTCAATTTTTCTGCCTCCAAGTAAAATGTTAGCTTATGCATACAATTAATTTCTAGTAATGGTATACATCCTCATTAAATTTAAATTATCTGCCAAACAAAGAACATATTCATGTAAAAATACTTCCAGAAACTTTGTTCACTTTCCCATTGATATAAACATGTTTCACAACTTTAGTCACATGACAAATTTACCCATGACAAAAGACCTTAGGAACTGCCATATTATCATTATAATTCACCAGACCACTTTTTTTTTAATATTAGGATAAAACAAAGCTCTTCTTGTACCAAAGTACATACGTTTCATGCCTTCTTGAATCAATGTATTACAAGTGCCTTATGTGTTTGTAGAGTAACAAGGCAGTCAGAGGAAGCTAGTAATGACAGGGCAGATTTTCAGCAGTTGAAATGCAGGAATTTTGCCTAGGTGCTAGTATTTTCTTTTTAAATTTTATTTTTTAGCAGGACTGAAGTATTTATACTCGGTAAGATATAATTCCTATGCATATACAAAAGCACTGACTAATGTAATTAAATCATGTTACTTCTGAAGTACTATTCAACTCCCACCCTTAAATAACATCCCACTGTAACTATTTTAGATTCTGTATAAAATAAAACAGTTACATTTCACTTCAGCTGTATCATTACAAAGAATGTCATCTGCAACTATAGAGTACAACTGCTTCATGTATTGTGGTTACGTTACATTGAGAAGAAACTTGACAATATTTAGAGGTTTTCTATTCTAGATTTTAAGGCCAAAACATGAATACTACTGTCTTTCAGAAGCAGCAAGCGATTTTCCTTTCATTATTCAGATCACTGGTCTTTGGCAACGGCACCAACAAAACTACAAAAGCTCACGTCTTTTGTCCAAATAAAGGGGGAAGGGTTTTAATGCCTACTGGTAAAATTCAGATGAAAAATTTTACCCCAAATATTTTACTTTAGAAACACCATTATAGTCAAGTGTTAGCCATAATTTCTTTTATTTATTCAAGGAATCAAAATATTTTTAAACTATTTTAATATAAACTGAATTGAAACAAAACGAAATCATATAATTCTCTATAAATAAAACCATAACCAATTTACTCACACAAAGACCACGTATTCAATCTGTGTACTGCAAGCAGGAGTAAACTGCTCTCAGCCCCTCAAAAAATGAGACACAGGTGCAGATTTGAGCCCTTAATCGTAAATTGGATGCACTTCTGATGTGCAAATATTTGCAATTTCAGAAAAGCAAATCCTGACACCTGCTTTTCAGACACTTTTGGAAAGATATACCTTGAATTTCTTTAACTCATGCTTTTCTGGATCTCCGAAACCCAGAACAAGTATCTTTTATTCATACGAGCATGACCATCTTCCCTATACAACCTATTATATGCCCTTAATAAACCTTTCTATTAAAGACGTACATTCAAGCATCAAAGAATATTTTGACTAGTCTTTCCTGTAGTAAAGATTTAACCTGTTGTGAAATATTTTTGGCCAGAGCTGAAAAAAGCCATCCCTCATTCTTATTTCAAACACTTCCTTTATTAAATTTTCAAGAAAAAATGTAAGCTGGTGCAGTTATACTCACAGGCAAAATGTGAGTAATTCAGATAGCTGATAACTTTAATCTTGGTCTCCTAGAAGGATGCTATTGCACGCTTTGTTTCTTAAACTGAAAAGTTACAGTATTTCAGACCATTGTTCTTTTTGCTTCACTGATGTGCATGAACATATGAGCATACATACATATTGATACAAACGCATATTTACTGGTAACACCTGAAACACAACCATTTTCTTTTAAAGTTCATTCAATGCTGCCTTCGCAAGCAAAACATTCAACTACTGTGAGAAACCAGAACTCATTACTAGTAAACATCAGAGGACCATCAGTGACAAAGGATTATTTGGAAGACCATCTCTTCAAGACACTTGGACTCAGGACAGCTTAGGACAACAGCTTTCATTGCTCAGTGGAGGACCTTTATTCAAGTTTGCTTTAAGAGACAGTTCCTTGAGGTACTCTAGCTCAGACTGATCAATTTTACTAGAATCTCTCTGACAAACCTCCACAGACAGATTAGTGCATTTCCCATCACAACTCAGAACCTGTTCTCTGGGCACATATGCACAATTTCAAGGCAAAGGTAAACGAACAGCACCTTCAAAGCTACTTAGTTTCTCTCCCTCTTCATTTATAGAGGTCACGAGTACATCCAAAAGTG